AAAGTGTGAGCGACAGTTTCGGCAGAGGTATCACGCAATGGGACTGCATGCGGCCATCTTGTGAAACGATCAACACAAGTTAATAAGTGCGTAAAAACCGTTTGAAGGAGGCAATGGTCCAACTATATCAAGGTGAACGTGTTTGAAACGCGCGTCTGGGAAGTGGGAAAGTTCCTGGGGTGGTAGTGGTATGAAGATGAACTTTACTCTTTTGGCATTGAATACAGGATTTTGCCCATTGCCTGATGTCATTATTCATGTTTGGCCAAATATAGCGATTCGTGATGAGCTTAACGGTAGAACGGATGCTCGGATGGGAAAGGCCATGAAGATGATCGAAAACTTTCCGCCGGTACGACAATGGGACGTATGGACGCGGCTTTCCGGTGGAAATGTCACAATGTATTTTCGAATCACAGTGATGCAAGGGTAACTGGACGAACTTCAGTGCATGGTTATTGCGAACAGATTCGAACTCAGAGTCAGTTATTTGTGCAGCAGAAATGTCCTCTAAGTGGATGGACGATGTCGACAGTTGGTGAATGTCGGTGCGGGATAACGCGTCAGCGACAATGTTGCCTGGCCCCTCGATGTAGTGAATGACAGAGGTAAACTGCGAGATATAATCAAGATGCCTTGTCTCCCGAGGAGAATAGCGATCAGCTGGCGAGTTAAATGCGTAGACAAGTGGTTTATGGTCAGTTAGAACGATGAAGTGGCGTCCTTCGAGGATGTGGCGGAAGTGCTTAATGGCGAAGTAAACAGCAAGAAGTTCACGGCCGAACGTACCTGTAAACCATAGTAATACCCCGTTTTGAAGTGCGAGCGACGATTCACAAACGGAAAGCTTCACTACCGCTGGACACCTTGATGGATACAGATCAAATTACTCCGTCTGAAGAGCTTGTCGTCCAAACAAAAAACCTAGCCAGATCGAAGATACTCAGCACAAATCAGAGACTCGAGGTGAACCCAACACGTAAAGCATACTAATCAAACATGGTGTGCAATTTAGTTCATTTTAAAGGAGAGATGTGTTAGACAGGCTTGCGCTTCACAGTCGCTCACAGCCAGGTAATTTGACATTCGTGAATGTCTCGTCACCTGATTAGTTGGACGCATGCACGACAGCTGTTCAGAGCCAGAATGCTCACCATTCATGACTAAATCTTCTCATGTGGTTGGTTAGTTGATCTATTGATCGTTTTCCATCCAAGTTGCTCAGCTTTGTCAGTTGTTCAATACAGCTGGTCTCGCGCAGTGGTGTTCTTGCTTCCGCGTTCGGAGTGTATTCTGTTATAGTCAGATGTTATATTACCAACTGAGCCATGAGGCTTCTGTACAGGGTTGACGGTTGCAGCAGAGGAGCAGTGACGTACAGGCGAAATTATTCCGTAACTCCAACTCTAACTCTACATTCTGACTTATTTCGAAAGATAGACTTCATGCCTTGTAAAATTGCGTTCGAATCTGTGGCTTGATATTCTAGCAAACTTTGAAATCACTCAATTTCCCAGATATGTTTGCATTCGAAAACACTGGCAAAACTTTCAAGAGTGTATTTAAGTCAGAAATAATGTCCACCAACTTGACAGGTTGTAATATTTCCAACATGTACTTTAACCAGTTCCTCCAAATTAGGTTCGGTCCGTCAGTGTTAACAAAGGTTAGAGGAAGAGCCAACAGATTGTCCCCATGCTTTACGTTCACGTCCCACAAGGCAAAAACATCGAGTATCCCCCCAGTGTATGATCATAATCTAGATGGTGTCGGGGTCAGAACCAGGTCGGGGAAAGTTCTGTTGTTGATCAGTGTAACCAATACTCCGGTATCGATTTCCAGACGTACTCGCTGGCCTTCAATTTCTAAATCAACAGTGTACGGGATTAACCCATTGAGTGCGGTTGTTTTGTATGAAATTAGGTCGAATATGGAATCGTCAGCTTTTTCCACAGTTCGAACTGTAGTCTGAGACGGAAGGGGTGCTGGTATCGGTCGTTGAAGCACAGTCGAACGGCATACGCGTGCACTACATCCGACCTTTCCGCATTTGTGATAAGTAGACTGTTTTGCCAGGAATCAGTAACCTTTCCATGTTTCTGGTCGCTTCTGTAACACCTCAAGGAAAATTTGTTGGTGGGTGATAGTTAAGATTTAACCGCATGGAAGGTGAATCGCTTTTTTAGTGAATTATTTGTCGCACAACGCTTTCGCTTGGTTTGCAACCATATGGTCACCGGTTCTGATCCGCATAAGGGGGGGGGCATGCTTGAGGTGGTGGTCACGTGACAGCGAGGCGCCGTTACGGCATACAGCTGGCGACTTAATTTACCTGTGTGCAAGCTGTTCCCCGATTGTGTTGATTCTCGCCTTATGTAAGCAGACTTTCCCTAGCTTTATGGCCTCGAATACTAACCAAAAGACGTTGCACTGCTATCGTCTCGTCGATTTTGCTTGTGCGAGAATTTCATTGTAACGGCAGTCAGGAAGGAACTGTTGCATACAATTGATGAATTCATTAACACGACTCTTCTCCGTGTCGTAAATGAGCAAAACTTAGGCGCGCCATAAAAGCATGTTGCCGCGGTCACCAAAGGCTATCTAGGGTGTTACAGCGGTCCGGCAGGGATGTGTTTTCGTACAAACGCAAGGCACCAAAATGTCTTTGACCTTTTGCACCGAGATATCGTCTCAGTAGTTTGATGGATTTGGTTTCACTAAGTTTGATGTGAGGTGTGTACTTGTGAACAGATCAAGGTAGTCACAGAAAGTTCGATTCCAACGAATCCGAACCGTTAAGGATGACTTGGACTACATGTTCTTTTAAAAGAGATCAGGAGGGTTAATATTGGTCATAGTAACTAATTCCAAGTTTAACCTTAGTCGCCAACTATCACGGTTTAGCAATTGCGTAACTAACGCTCAGTGGCTGGCTCGTAACCGAAGTATCGCGTCACCTCAGACAAACGGAAGGCAAATATGTAATCTAACCAGCATATTTTACAACGCATCGATTCAGTATTCTAAATTAGGCCAATCGATGAGTGGGTGAGCACTTACTGACACACGCCAGCAGACGAGGTCAACGAGTAGGATGAGGATGCCGCACTGTCAAGCCTGGGCCAAGCGAATAACGTATCTGTGTACCGCTGCTGGGTGCCTATACCTATGCGGCTGTTTCTGAGTTTTAAAAATTGTACATTCTTCGGCCTTTGTCTCCATTTTGGGTTGTATCCTGCGAATGGGGGCATAACAGACTCTTCTCTAAACTCCTACCTGGAAGACATTTGCCTAGTTTTCGTATTCGTTACAAAGGCAGTTGAAACTTACAGCCTACGTCATCTCCGTTGCTGAGGGGACTACTTTGTTCATGACTACCATGATTTTACCTTCAGTGATTTAGGCCAACATTGGGCATCGCTTAACTCCCAGTTTCATTGGTCTTTGTTTTATTCTGAAGAAACTGGATGGTGTCATCGAATACTAGTGGATTCAGTGAATTCGCCACTATCCAGTAAGAAAGCATCAGACTGCGTCGGTAATAGGGGGAATAAACAATTTATTTGATCGCGAGGTTGCTGTAACTATCCATGTCTCAGTTAAAGAAGAGTAACCATCAGTAAGATTGCAGAAACCTTCGCCACAAGCGTATATTTTGGATACAAAATGTATTTTTGCTCTTGAGTATACGCAAACAATTGGGGTTGTCATAACTTTCCCTCCAAAACCCTGACAGATTTTCACATGATAGAGCAGTTACAAGGTCAACTGTACGGCGCTTTATGACGTTGCATATTTTTACACTCGGTAGATGGTGAACCAGTATAAAATTTAGCCCAAACGTCTTCGCCCTTTCAACACATGCTATTTATTTTACTTTAGCTAATGATGCAGGAATCATATATGCTAGTATGGTATTTGCAATATTTGAACTAACGTGTGCGAACCAGATCCCGATTTGTTTTTTTCCTTACCCAACCACGACGATGTGCGACAATTTGTTGCCGATTTGTTCTAACATGAGATCTCTATCCAAGGTGGACTACTGAATTTGTCTCAGTTCTCACACCGTATGAAGCCTGCATAACACCACATCTACTTTGTCTTTTTAAGTCTCCCAATACTTTAGCTAGAAGTACGGTGTACAGCTGACACATTATTACTATTTGCTAGAATTTATTGGTATGGCGCAGCCTTTACTTTCAGATTAATGCCGGAGATACTCAGAAACAAACATATATTGATCATATCATGGCGATCGCTCATGGATCACCGAACATTTGAGAGAAATACACTCCTATAGTGCAAATTTACTTGGCGGGTCTATCATGTAAATCCTAATCAAACTAATTTTGGACAGGCAAAAATGTAAATTTCCATAACTTACCGCATGAAACGGTGCTTCGCGGCGAGTATCCAAAACTTAAAATGATTGAAACACCCGTTCATCTCTTGAATACGTGGAATCGCCATATACACTGCCACGAGACCTCTGTAGGAAAATCAAAAGCATTCGTTACGCCACAGTGCTCCAAAAGGAAACTGGTCATTGTTTCAAGATAAATTTGCATGTCAGAAGTGGGGAAATGTTAGCTAATGTCAAGGTTGCTGGCAATCATTTTTCTCACCCTCTTTTGGATGACCGAGTACTCATTCTTTACGCAAATCTGCTATTTAAAAGCGCAATAGAACTGAAAATTTTTGACACAAATCATCCTTAATAGATATTATAAGTCGAAAGCTGACAAGTTCACATGCTTTAAAACAGGACGTCATGTGGAGGCGCTTACGACATTAGGAAAAAGGTATCCACCGAGAGCGGGCCACTGACGACCAGTTGAAACGGCCACCATCGCACACTTTCTTGCACATAAACGGCAGCATTATCTGCAAAGGGAATCAAAATCAGTAGTTGAACTTCTGCTAGTTTTAGTTATTTTCCTGTAAAGAGCTAAAAGTGGGTTCTGTCCCAGCCATAAAGATCATGCTCGGAATCTAGCTCAGTTTACCAGGCAGTAATTAACGATTAACCAAAAGGAAGTGTTACAGACAGGGTAAGTGGATTAACCGCTGCAGACTGCGCCTATTTTCGCTATTCCCAAAGCGAAACCTACGTCTGTAGTAAATCTAGGTGTTGTAAAACTACCAACAGACTGACAAGAAACACGATCTTCAAGCATTCGCTTGCGAACCGTCTTTGACTCCGGTCTTCATAGGTATGGGGCTACTAAGTCAACTTCGCAGAGGAACCCAGGAAGGGCTGACTCAGAAAGATGAAGTCGTACTGGGAACTTGAGCTGTTTGTTGGGCCTAGATCAAACACGAGTTGTCTGAGTAAATCGCTTCATGGGTGCCTTGTTTTTCACGCTCAACTCATCCTACTCCGTCCCAATCCGGGATTTGGGTCTCACCAAGCAATGATAATGAAATGAAATGAAATGAATGTGTCAGCTTATACGCCGTAACGGCGCTTCGCTGCCGCGCGACCACCACCAGTCGCGCGCGGGCTGAGTATACCGCGAGGACGCCCACCCCTAAGCGGATTCGAACCGGTGACCTTATGGTTGGAAAGCAAACGTGCCAACCACTCGGCCACCGGCCGAAAGCAATGATAAAATATTGGTGATTGTTGTGTGCGCTGAGTACCAGTCCTCTTCCCCTCTCAAAGCGCGTACCTATCCTGCAGATTGTAAATGATTGCATTTGCGTGTACCCAGACTGATCCATTTTTTCCTGACAGTCCTATGAGTGGTCTAACAGAGTGGTCTACCTTCGTTCCTGGGTATACACCATATTGCTGCAGAGGCCGAACTGCGCCTAGGCCTAGTTTTCAGTGAAAATAGCACTGCTCATCTTGCGTTGGATAGCTAAATAATAGCTGCATAAATGGAATTGGTTTTAAAAGGTTTAATCAAGAGGAATTCCCGCAGAGTAGAGATTTTACGCATCTTTCGGAATGCGCGGGAGGCATTGCCTTCATTTCAAACTATTTAGGGTGTAAGCGTGTCTAGATTGGTTTGCCAAGTGTACACAGCATCCTGAAACGAAGGATGGAGACTAATGAGATGGTAACTTTCGTATAGAGTTGCTCCAAGAATCGGTACTCATGACTGAGCTTTCGGGTAATAATGCGAACATAGAGTTAGGCTCTGGGTGTGTCACTTCGCACTTTCTTGTGTATTTCTGCTGGATTACAAACTCATGTTACAGTGACACAGCTCACAGTGTTCACTAGTCCTCATGAATTAAGATTGAACTTCCGGGCTACATACATCTTTAGCCTACGTAAACGCACGCGTTCCTTCTCAATTGAGTAAACTCGTCCACGGGTTTGTACACACGCCACACCCGTCTACGTTCCGTGGTTAAGCACACGAGTTCGATGTACACATTTCCGAGTGAAGGATACGTGTGATTCAGTCATACAGTTTTACTGAATGGATTGAGTGCATCCATCATGAGATTACTGTTCCTAGGAGATGACTACCCTGTGCAGGCTTATTTTTACATACTGCTTACGCGAATGGCATAGTAACTAAAACTCAATCTCCTAGCTAATGAAACAACACAAATCTCATGGTTAGACAAGGAGGACGATTAGCTTTACTCATGAAGTTCGCAATCTGTTCTAAGGAAAGCTGCCCTTTCAATATGAGCGTGTTCGTTGAATTACAAGTCACAGGGTTTTGTTCGTCGCTTAAGTCTTCTCACGTCGACCATGAAGGAAAATAAGCCTTAGGACCATTTAAGGAAAGCAAGTTGACAGCCCAGCTCATGCTTACTTTTAACTTGCGAAGTGTTCACTGATTTATAAACTGCACCAACGGTTCAGAACTCAAGAGAATCGTCAACGAAGATACATGATAAACCGACCACCTATGACCTTCACGAAATAGTGCAAGCTTCAAACACAACGTTAATATATCGGCCAAGTTGCCGTAGGCATTATGGAGAAGTGTCAAAGTCAGGGATGGACCGCGTGCAGCAAGTGAGCAATCTGTGCGTATATTCATTACGGGTACATAATTATATTTAATTCCTGCTGGAAAATCTCCCAAAGTTTCCACTGCAAGCTTTTGGATTCCCCGATGGGTGTTTGAACTGTGACACACCACGGAGTTTTGGACCATCAACTGCAAACTGTTGTCTCCAGTTATGATCCTTGAATATTGCGGAAACTGGGATCGCTATCCGACCTGAGAACTTTTACCTAAATGCTTTAAACTAGCACGGGTCTGCTTACAGAGTGCATGAAGGAATGCAGACACTCTAGTCGGAATACAGTTTACTTCGTATACATGTCAGAGGTCACACTTTTGGCGAATATTTGCACTACCTGATAGTGGCCGTCAGCTGTGAAGCAGTTATATTTACCAAAATTCTAATGCCTGATTTAAACGAGATCCGGTTTTAACAGACAAAACTACTATCTACGTACATACCCTTTGTAATATTGTTATTCTATACAAAAGGTTCCAAGCAACACTCATATTTTACGCACTTACTAGAAGAGAAAAACGAAAAGATAGCGCAGTGATAGTAAATGACCCACAATGTGGTAATCACTCTGATTCCATTGAGCATGGTTAGAGGATGGCGTTTCTCTTGACATCGTCTCGGTGGATATTGTAGTTTCTGCATATTGCTGGGAAGTGAAAAGGCCAACAATGCCTCCAAAGGCCAGCCGCTTACGACCATGAAGTCTGAAAAGCACAGAAATGTATGATGTATTTGTTGAAACAAACCAGAAAGTTTCTACCTGTATCCAAGCTTTTGTCTCTTTTGATCTATGAAATGCATTTGAAGAGCATGATCATGCATTTTGACTAACGCGGTTATGGTTAAAACCTTTGATAAATTGGCTCAATTGACATATAGTTAGTTGAAACTACCGTGAAGTGCACGCCGAGGCAAATAAGAAAATCATGAAGCGTAGGTCCTTTAATACATCTTTATCAACTATAAACATGCAAAAATATCAGATATACCGAAAACGTGCGCGTCTGGAAAAGCCTGGGGCTAACAAACCAATTGTCGCTTCCCGCTACCGTCGTGCCAAGTGCTACTCCCGGGGCTTAATGGTCTGTTGATCATGACGATAGTCGCCTATCTTCATGTGCCGAGTTCCATGCCAGCTGAGCGGTTCCAATAAAGCCGAAACCGTCGGTCGTGAAGTGCAGTGATGGGGCGGTGACGGTAGCTTGATCGTGGTCAGGAAAGCCCATTAGCACCACGATAACAAAGCAGTCATGTTTGCCCGGTCGATGGAAAATATGGAATCGTGGCGCCGTCGCTGAATCAGGCAGGGTCATTCTCCTGGTCAAAGACAGGCGAGCTGCTCGCAGATGCACACATTCAGGGTTCAGTGCCCATCGCATGATGACAGCTGATAGGCCAAGCGGTCTAACAGTCAGAGGAGGCAGGTGAAAAAAACAATCATTGCAAGCACTGCATGAACTGACCTGAATGAATATAGTGTGTGAACAAGGCGCATCTATATTGCAGCTAAGAGAGGATTGGTCTAAACATCTGAAGCAAAGGGTGGACGCCAGCCAATGAAATGCAAGTGACAGGAAAGAAGCACCATTTAAAATGTGTTTCTGTATAGTAATGAGCAGCATAAAATGCCCTTGTATTCTATAATAACAGCTTTTTACTGGCCACTCAGAATGGCTTCTTGCTGTTTGGAGTACTATACGACACCCAACTTATGGCAATTTGATATTCACAGTGTCCTGATTACTATTCAGAACGTTGGCTCCATTTGATCCATAAAATTGTTTTCCAGTGACTTGAGTATCTCGTTATACTGATTACGTTTTAGGATAGCAAATGAATGTTTTCTATTTGCTTGATAGTCAGTGTTCAGTAAGCGTCATACAATTGTCAAGGCAGGTGGATTTCTCATTCAAACGATTCCAATGCGGAGGAACCCATTCGGCAGTGTAAGCCCTACAGAATGTGTTCATCGGATTTTAACGCTAAAACGTCGGGCATTGAGCACGATATACCAGTTTCCACAGCTACAGGTCAATTTGTAGCTAGATACTAGGCATTCTAGAAATGTTTGACTGTATCCGATTCCGGATTTTTCTGTCCCTGCAGCCTCCATAGAACAGTCACAGGAAGTCTGCGCCTACTGAGGGACCATAGGTGGCTTGTGCTGCACCACCCAGAACTGAATTCATACATCCCATATCGAAGGAATAAGATCCGGTGGCATGGGGATGGGAGCCACGTTCCATCCACGGAGCCGGCCCACAATCCTACAACAAGCAGAGCAGAAGTATGAATGCCCAAGTGGAGAATCATGCTTAACAGAATTAAACAAGGCGGTGGCTGGGCATTAGCCAATTCCACACTGGGGGTATGGCACCATTCTTTCAGTCTAGTACGACCATGGCGACCGTGCATTCTGTCCCGTTCAGCAACGACTAACTGTCTCCTGGAGCCGGTATAAACGAGATGGTGGGTACGGGACGGGTAGGCACCTTGTCAACATGCATATCAAGCGCAGTCATATCGCAGATATCAATCAACAGTTAACATCTGAAATGTAATAAAACAACACGTACGCATACGTATTGACCAAATGCAACGATGATGTATCACATCAACCGCTACATTGACCCAGGTTAGTGAAAGGAATCGGAAGTATTGCTACGCCGATGCATACTGCATGCCTACCTTACTCGTCTACTCTTGGATTCTAGTCCAACCAGGCGAGGCCTGTGGCCTGCTTGGCTGAGGCACTCACGACCGCGTGTGCTATAGCAGAATGCGCTGTACGTCTATGTGCTATCCATCATCGACGCCTGTCGCTTCCTCAACTGATGTTTTCTTCCGCATGCATTAGTGATAACATTTGCACCTGGGTAACTACCCTCTCTATATGCATTCGTTATGGACGTCGATCTGATACCATTGTTTCCCAACATCTGAAATAATCATTAGTTCATGTTAACCCCACTTTGACCATGTCCTGGTAACGTAACTTCGGTTTTCCTACGTGCGGCTTCCCTGCACGCAGCTGGCTATAACCCAGCGGTTCTGATGCCCGGGTCGGATCCATACGGCGAATAATCTCAATCCACCTCAGGTGCCTCAGAATAAGTATGCAGTCCACTGCATACATGCCACTGCGTTAGAGCACCTCCGTATCTGCAACTCGGTCACCCTAACCGATGTGCATAATACGGTACAGAAACTGTCGATGGAAGCGCACCGGATACCGGACATACTTTCGCTAAAGCGATCGGGTTTCGCTGCCGTATAGAAGACCGGACAGCACCATAGTCTTGTATACCACCAGATTCGTCCTGGCAGTGAGCTGGTGGTTGTTCCACACAAGATATTCCAGCTTGCTAACTGCAGCAGCCGCCTTCTATACGCCGCTTGGTTGCTCGCTCGTCATCTGCAGGTAGCGAAATCTCGCAGTGGTTTCCAACCCTTGGTCGGCAACCTGGATTTTGGACTATCCTACGGACTTCATTCCTGCTGAAAGCTGTAAAAGTCAAGCAGCCTTACTTGTGTTTATGCTGAGCCCGAATTTGGTCGCTGTCGTAGCGATAGCCGAAGTTATGAGCTGCAATTCTTCTGCGCAATGCCCAAGCAAAGCACAGTCGTCAGTGAACAGTAACATACTGGTAGTTGCCTCACCCATTCGGATTCTCACCCTGCAACGACGGATGTTCAGCAGTCCACTACCAACACGGTGTTGCACACACACACACACACATCTTAATCACAAGCAGTACCAACAGCAACATACATCATTTCGTGAAGGTAAATATTAAACACAGCAGGAGCTAAGACGCGGCCTTGTTTCACACCAGAGACAACCGTAATCTCATCCGAGGTCTGTCCACAGAGCTGCACCCTCGCTAGCTGCGGCACAGTAGCGAGGTGAGGAGGTGATGATGACCCTCGCTAGCATACCACTGTGCAGAGATTAAATTATACTTACTAGCTTACTTGGACAACCAAACGTATCCAATCCCAGTCACAGTGTTTCGCGCTTTACCGCTTCAAATGTTTTGAAGCAGTCAACAAATAGCTAGTACAACGGTTGGTATCGCCCTCTGCAATTCTCCTGTAGTTGACGAGCCACGAACGCCATATCGACGGTACTGTGGCCTGAACAGCATCCGCATTGATCCTTCGCCACTTTCGGTTCCCCAACCGGAGTGACGAGGCGGTTGAACAGGATGCGGGCGACCAATCGCCTTACACAACTCTGCAAGCTGATGCCAATAAATTCGCGTAACGTTGCTTACTTCCTTTGCCCTTGTACAGTGGTGGCAAAAGGACATCCTTCAGCTGGACCGGTACTTCCTCCTCAATCCTCACATGCCGCTTAGCAGATGAGCGAGTGTTCTCTGCGCCTCATCCAGTGTCGCTGTGAAGGCGAGACACAACTTCATCTCTTTTTGTTGCATCCCGTACAACACAGTCCAGTCAATCTCTGAACGGTTGTTCAAGTGACAATCAAATTACCTTCGCCAGATCTGCATAATATCTGTATTCTTTGTACAAGCAACTCCTGAAATGGGATCGAGCAGCGTCCTCAGCGGCTGCAAGGTGCGTCCAGACACCGTCTTCAAGGAGTCAAATAATCCATTATGCCGGCAGCGGTTGGCTTAGCATGACATCTGCTTCACCTTCTTCGTCCACCATGCATTCTTGATATGATGGAGCTCTAGATTCAATAGCCGTCGATGTTAGCGAAAGCGATTCTCCTTCTCGCAGTCCTGAGGGTCCGCCACATGTGCAACGAAGGCGCCGTTCTTCGCAGACACCCGTGCGTCAGTCGTCGAGTTGTTCTCATTAAACCACTCGGGCCACTTGCAGTTTGCGAACCCGATCGTTTCTTTGGCAGCAGCCGTCAACCGTTCACGAATATGGTGCCGCAGGTCGCTTACCAAGGCCACGGAGTCGAAAAAACAAGGCGGGTAGCCATCAGCTGCTCCAATTCCATCCTCTTGTTAGATGTACCTGGTGAAAGAACGTTACATTCCCGCCGGTATATGGCAGGTGTGAAATACATAGCTTTACGAAAATATGTGTACAATATGGTCCGAACTAACTTTTGAGCAATGCTACGCTCAGGTCCAAGCAGTACACTTGTCATACGCACTGTACGCATATCACACTGGCGTACGATGACATAGCCGAGCAGGTAAGCGTGACCAGTCCGTGGGTGCGTCACAGTTGCTATATCACTCACACTCAGCGCAAACCGAGTGTTCGTGTTCGTCAAGCCGTTAGTGGCGCACAGTGAGATTAGCCTGTCAGTTTTCGAGCCACGCGGACCGTTAACATCTGTCCATACTGCAGGATCACCCCAAAGCGTGCCTTGAAATCACCCAACAGAAATAGTCTGTCGCTCCTCGGCACAGACCGTATCACGGTGGATAGCTGAGTGTAGAATTGAGCACGCGGGTTATCAGGATAGGACATGATGGAACGCTACATGCTTACAAAAGTGGCAACCTTACCTCTTCGGAATCGTAGGCGAACAGCCATCAGTCGCAAGCTGATGCCAATGGGCTCCCCCACAAGCTGGTCATTTAGACGGTCGGATAGTGCCAATTCGACTCTATGTTCACGTGGTGCCGAGGTGGCGTTGCCCATCCAATAGAACATGTAACCAGCATCAGCCGCATGCAGCTTTCCTTGGACAACGAGCCGGGTCTCGCTGAGT